TCCTCCTGGTGGAGCTGCCAGCAGCAGGGTGGCATTCCCGGTGCCAGCAGGTCCTGTGGGAGATGTCACATGGGGGTTTGGACAAGGCAGGGCTGGGAGGAGAAAATAACCAGGGTGTCACTGGTTTGGGAAGGGGGATCAGTCTGGAATAACGGGGTGTCACTGGTTTGGGAAATGGGATCAGTCTGGAATAACGGGGTGTCACTGGTTTGGGAAATGGGATCAGCCTGGAATAACCGGGGTGTCACCGGTTTGGGAAATGGGATCAGCCTGGAATAACGGGGTGTCACTGGTTTGGGAAATGGGATCAGCCTGGAATAACGGGGTGTCACTGGTTTGGGAAATGGGATCAGCCTGGAATAACCGGGGTGTCACCGGTTTGGGAAATGGGATCAGCCTGGAATAACGGGGTGTCACTGGTTTGGGAAGGGGGATCAGCCTGGAATAACGGGGTGTCACTGGTTTGGGAAATGGGATCAGCCTGGAATAACGGGGTGTCACTGGTTTGGGAAGGGGGATCAGTCTGGAATAACCGGGGTGTCACTGCTCTGGAAATGGGGATCAGCCTGGAATAACGGGGTGTCACCGGTTTGGGAAATGGGATCAGCCTGGAATAACCAGGGTGTCACTGGTTTGGGAAATGGGATCAGCCTGGAATAACGGGGTGTCACTGGTTTGGGAAATGGGATCAGCCTGGAATAACCGGGGTGTCACTTGTTTGGGAAATGGGATCAGCCTGGAATAACGGGGTGTCACTGGTTTGGGAAATGGGGATCAGCCTGGAATAACGGGGTGTCACTGGTTTGGGAAATGGGATCAGCCTGGAATAACGGGGTGTCACTGGTTTGGGAAATGGGATCAGCCTGGAATAACTGGGGTGTCACTGCTCTGGAAATGGGGATCAGCCTGGAATAACCGGGGTGTCACTGCTCTGGAAATGGGGATCAGCCTGGAATAACGGGGTGTCACTGGTTTGGGAAATGGGGATCAGCCTGGAATAACGGGGTGTCACTGCTCTGGAAATGGGGATCAGCCTGGAATAACGGGGTGTCACTGGTTTGGGGCTGGGATCAGCCTGGAATAACCGGGGTGTCAGAGCCAAATTAAAATTGCAAGTTTTTGGTGTTTTTTTTTTTTTTTTTTTTTAGTTTTTTTTTTTAATTTTTTTTTTTTTTTAATTTTTAATTCCACACAGGGCCCAATTTATTTAAATTCCAAGTTTTTGATTTTTTTTTTTTTTTAATTACACCCAGGGACAAATTCCTTCCCCCAATCCCACCTCTCCCTGCCCTCCCTGTGTCCTGTCCCTCCATCCCAAATCCCAAATCCCAAATCCCTCTCCTGGAGCCCCATCAGGCCCTGGAAAGCCCCAATTTGGTCACCCCAAAGCTCCCACGTGCTGGTTGATGCCATAAATTGAATATTTGAGCTACAAAATTGCGACCCCAAAAGGCTTTTCTATAGAAATTAAAAAAAAAAAAAAAAAAACAGAGGATGAGCAGAAAAAAATTTGAATTGATCCTGATGGGATTTTGGGTTTTGGGAGAAAATAAAATAAAATCTGCTTCATACAAATTTCCAGCACAATTTAAAATTCATTTCAATTAATATGCATTTCCTGAAAGAATTCACAGCATGACTACTGCAATGCTTGTTAGAGGATTAGATTTGTGTATATTCCTATTTCCAGTTCATTAATTATGTTAATGATTTGTCTAAACCCACTCAAATTAGGCATCTCACTGTAAATAGTTGGGTGTTAAATATTAAATAATATTAACTATTAATAATATTAATATTAAAAATAAAAAAGGGGTTCTTGGGGTTTGGGTATTTTTCCATTTAAGTGGCTTTGGGTTGATTTTTGTGTGTTTGGGTTTAGAACTCAATTTCCAGTCATGGTGTTAATTAGATTATAAAAATAAATATAAAAATAATGTGAGAATAAACAACTTGAGCAGGGTCCTGTATAGGTTGAGAGAAACCCAAGGAAAGGAAATTTTTTTCCATGGCTCTTTTTGGGAAAGAATTCTTCAGAACTGGAGCTATTTTAGTAAAATAATTGGAATTTTGCAGCGTCAGAATTTCCTTTGAATGCCTTTCATCAAGGGAACAACATCCAAACAACGAATTTCCCTCATATTTTCCACATGAAGCCAAATCCTAAATAAAATCTACTTGACAGAATCTTGTGGCTGAAGGATTAGTCTCATTTTAATAGAATATCCACAGAATTTATGGAATAATACAAAGCAAAACTCAGGGTACAGATGAAGAGTCTGCTAGCACAAACCACCTAAATTACAACCACTGCAGAAAATGACATTTCACACGTTTGTACAGGTGGGGTTGGGCTGGAAAGGAACAAAAAAAAAAAAATAAAATTAAACCCCTGGGATTATGGTTTATTGTCCTTTACCAAAACCTGCTGAGTTTCTGGCTGCCAGGGAGGAAGGAAAGAAGGAAATAGAAAAGAGAAAAATGTGCTTTTTGTGGGGTTTTTTGTCCCTTTCTCCTGCCCCAGCCCTTCCTTGACTCCTGGTTTTTGAAACCCTCTAAAAAAGAGGATTTGTCTCATTTAAAACCTTTTTCTGCACCTCTGTGGGGAGTAAAGATGGAAAATTAACCGTGAGGAAATCTCTAAATATCCATTGACATTTGCACAGCACTGGACAGAAAGGGTTGGGGTGAATTCCTGCCCTGGAATCCAGCTTTGGTTCCTGTGCCTTCCTTGTGAGCCACGACAAAAACTCATGGCCAGCCCCAATTCTGGGTGGAAAAAGCAGAAAATTTGGAGTTTCTGGGGCTGAGGATAAATCCTCCGGGAGAGGGGAAGGGAATTGGATTTTTCTCCAGCCAAGAAATTGGATTTTTCAGGCTGATGTGGAGCGAATTCCTGCCATGAAACACACATCGAGTAAAAACCACCAGGATTTGGTGAATTTGGGCATAAAAGAACATTTCCTGCAGCTAAAACGTGACTTCCCACGGGAGAAAAACCTCAGGAAAAGTCAAACCAGACCAGAAAGTGCTCAATGCAATCCAGGGAATTGAGAAATGAAGCTCTGGGTCCTGCAGGGCTGATTTCTGAGGCAGGAACAGGGGGCACTGAGCAGTCCAGCAGTATTGCTAAAGGGATGTGTTCATTTCATTTTCTCCTTTAAACATATTTATATATTTATAGACTGGTCAAAGTCCCACTGGAAATGCATTTCCACCAGCAGCAGTGCAGATTTCTCCCCATCCAGCTGAGATTTGTCACTCCACCTTTGGGACAGGGACATTTTCTTTTTTTGCTGTTTTTGTCCAAAAATTTGTATTTTTTTTGCTTTGCAATCAACTGGTTGAAATAGGTTAATAATAATAATTTTTTTTTTTGCAGCTATAAAATGCACTTTTGGCATTTCTAATTGATGGGGCTGCAGGTTCTTCTCTGTGTTAAAAGACATAAAAACTTTATCCATGTGTCCATCCATCCATCCATCCATCCATGAACATAAACTTTACATGCTTATAAAGCTGTGAAAAATTAAAATCTAATGCACAGCACTTGGAGTGCTCCATCACAAAGTGCACTTTTTGAAACAGAACAAAACCAAAAATCTCTTCCAAGAAGTTAAAAATCGATTTTTTTGTATGGAAACACCTCCATCTCATGAAGGGAAATTGGGGATCTGTCCTTTTCCTTCCCTTGCTCTGAAGGAATTACTTGGAGAAAGGTGAAGTTTCATTGTCAGATCTGCTCATTCTGTATTTTTCCCTTTTTCCTGAAAGTGCAGACAGAGTGGGGTTGGGCAGGAATAAATAAAAGACAACAAAAAAGCAAATTCCATCCTGGTGTGGATCCCTCCTGAAAGGAGATTGGGATTCCTCATCTCCCACATCCCTCTTCCATCCCAGCAGTATTTTTGAACGTTTTTTGATGCACAAACTCTTTCTAGAGCTGAATTTTGACCCCATCACTCAACATTTTATCCACTTTATTGTTGAATAATCGCAAACTTCCCTTGCAGTGCCAGCGTGGGTCACGCTCTGGGTGGAAAACTGACGAATTTCCCTCTAAATCCATAAAAACAAAGGGAAAAAAAAGAAAAGGAAAATCACCTTGAAGTGTTCTCAGTGCCGTCCCAGCCTCTGGGTCCATGAGGAGCTTTGTGATTGTTCATGGTGGGAACTGAAATTGGATTAATCAGCAAAGTCCTTCCTCCACTCTGGGACAGAGGCACTGGGAGGGAATTTGGGGATTTGGGGATTTGGGGATTTGGGGATTCCTGGCTGCTCCTTCTGCCTCCAGACGGAGCTGGGAGCTCGGGACACCTGGAACAAACCTGAGCTCCACCAGCACCTGCAGGGCTCCCCTTGCCTCGAATTTTACAGAATTCCTCCTAAAATCCCATTGGTTTGGGCTGGAAAGGACCTTAAATCCCATCCAGTGCCTCCCTGCCATGATCCCAGCTCCTTCCAACTTGGAATATTTTGTCAATAATTGGTTCATAATTATCTTGTTCAGATGGAACGTGGAATTTTGTTTTTCTTTTCCATCTTCAGCCTCTGGGCTGGTGCTGTGGGCGCAGAGCTCTGCTTTCCATCCCTGGCCGGAGCGTGTGAGGAGAACGTCTCAAATGAGAATTAAGGTTAAAAAAAGTCATTTTGGTGCTTCCTTGGAGCACCCAAGGGGAGGAAGGGGCTCACCCAGAGGGGTTTTGTTCACTGAGAGGAGGAGAAAAGCAGCTTTGTGTGTCCAGGGGAGCCATCCCCACCTCCAGGAGAAATCCAGAATTCTCCTTGAAACTATGAGAAGGGAATTCTTCATCTGGAGAAGGAAAGGGGTGGTGAAGTGAAGAAATGAGGGAATTCTTGTTCTGCAGGAGTTTGAGAGGGGTTTTAGCTGATCATGGGATCAGGAAAACCTAAAATGATTTGGAGGGACCTGAAATCCCATCCAGGGACAGCTCCCACTGTCCCAGCCTGGCCTCGGACATTCCAAGGACCCAGCAAGCTGGCTGTGCCTCTGAAATCAGGAATTTCCAATGAATTTTGAATGCTCCTTCATTTCTTTTCCCCCTTCCTTTGCTCACAGAACCCTCACGAGTCCCCAAATCCCGAATCCCAAGAGTCCAAGTCCCACCTGCACCTCTGGGTTCCAGCATCCACCCCCGTGTCCTGCACCCTCCATGGGGCAATCCCAGGCTGGAATGTGGAATTTTGTGTGGAATTTACTGTGCTGGAGGAGCCTTTCCCTCCTCAGGGAACCTCCCAACACTTCAGCAGCATCAGCAGTGAGTGATTGTCCAGTGGAGACCAAAACAGGGCCTGGAGAATTTCCTTATCATGGAAAACTCCTTCCAAACCCCTTTGGGGTGTGTGCCCTCAGGAGAAGGTTCTGTGGGATCCCTGCAGAGTGCCTCATGCTCCTGGGTGGGATAAATCAGGAAAAAACCAGGAAAAACCAGGAAAAACCACGAGATTTCCTGCTGGGAATGAGTTCCAGAGGAACGGTGGGAGCTGGCAGTGCTGCACTTCGGAATCTTCTGGAAGAAACTCACACTGGCTGGAGAAAGGGGGGGAAAGCTCTTGCCATTGCCTGTGTGGTTGTTCTCAGCTTTTGGGGTGTCCTGGAGGAGCCTGGGGTGCTCCGTGCTGGCCAGCAGCGAGTGAAGGGAAGGTTTTATCATCGAAACCAAAATAAATTCTCTCTCTGGGCTGGAGATTCATGGGCTGGAGGATGCTCTTGACTTACTCCAAGGATACACAGTGAGTATCTGCGCTGTGCAATGCTCTCCACAGACCATTCCCCAAACACACCAGAACCTGTCCTGTAAAGTGCTGCTCCTGCTTCGTTTTCTGGGGGGGTTTGTTTGGTTTTTGTTCTTCTTTTTCTTTTCTATTTTTAAAAAAAAGGAAAGTGATTCCCAAGAGGTGAAAGGACTTTGGAGGCAGAGGAGGCAGGCTCCAGGATTTACGGGGCTTGGAGGAAGGTGGTGGCAAGCTCTTGTCCCCAGAGGTCCTTGTTGAGGTGGTGACTCCAGGCTGCTCCTTCTGCTCCATCCTCGGTGCTGCTCCCACTCAGGACATGCTGGAAAAAGGGACAGGAGGCATTTTCAGGCACAAACTGAGGTAAAAATGTGATTATTGCCATCACATCATCAAAAAAAAAAAAGAGTGAATTTGGGTGAAATGGTTGCTGGGGACACTGATGGTGCCAGCCGTGGATTTCATGGGCACAGGGGACAAAGTGGCACCAGGCTGGGGGACCCTGGTCATGGATCACAAATGGCACAGGATGGGACCCAGCCACACCAAGAGCTCAAACCTGGTCTCCTGATCCTCTGCTGGGGGCATGGGCATGCTGCAAAGAGAAAATAAAAATAAATACATCTCCAGCACATGGTAAATAAAAAATAAAAAATAAAAAATAAAAAATAAATAAATAATAAATACTAAATACTAAATAATAAAAAATAAAAATTAAAATTAAGTAATAAATAAGAAATATTAAATAATGATTAATAAAATTTTTAAATTTAAAATTTAAAATAATAAATAATAAAATTTTAAAAATAAATAATAAATCTCAAATCTCAAATAAATCTCAAAATAAACCAATCCCCCTCTCTGCCCTGATCTCCAGGAATATTTCAGCCTCATCCAGGGCATCTTTCCCTGCTCCCCTCAGGAATTAGAATACGAAGAGAGGCTGTGTCTGATCAGGACTAGAGCCAGGCCACGCTATCCTGGTGAAGGATTTTATTTTCCAAATCCCTCCAGAATTTCCCTTCCCTACAGATCCAGCCTTTAGCAGCTCCTGAACACTCTGGGGATGCCCTGGTGGATCCCAGGGGGGCTCCCAAGCTGGGGAGCTGTTCTCATGCCCAGAGACTCTTCAAGGGAAGGGGAAATCAGAGGGAAGGGAAGGGGAAATCAGAGGGAAGGGTAAATCAGAGGGATGGGTAAATCAGAGTCCTTACCTTTCCCTCTCAGCCATGTCTTGTTTCTCCTCTGCCCTGTAAACACAAATCCCATTGGGAATCCATCCCCAGCGGGAAGGAGGAGCCCCCAGTGCCTTCCTGGGGTGATGGATGAGCCACTCCCCATCCCTCCCCAAATCCCTCTCACCTTTCTTTCCTGGCCTTGATCCTCTCTTCTTCATATCTGCAACGAAGACAAAACCTCCTTTAGTTGCTGCTGTTCCCTTTTAGCCCCATTTTTTGGTGTTTGCTGAGGGGCCGAAGCTCTGAGCCACACTCTGGGGCCATTCCTTGGCTGGGGCCAGCTTTGCCCAGGCTTTGCCCTCCCCATCCGTGGATTTGGGCTCAGGACCCCCAGCTCCCCCTCCCCAGAGCCCCAGGGCCCCCCTGGCACTCACTGCAGGACACACTCTGGGATCTGCACGTGCTCCATGGGGATGAGCTGCTCCAGCTCCTCCAGGCTGTGCACGTACTGGATCTTGTTGATGAACTTCACACTGGCATGGAGAGACACAGACAGAGGCACTGCCACTCCAGGGGCTCCAAAAACACCTCTGGAGGTGGCACTGAGGGGTCTGAGGGGTGCAGGACAAGGGACAGCTTCACCCTGGTCACCCCTGGCTGAGGGAGAGCTTGAAATGTGATTTGTGAGATTAAAACCCAGGGAATGGCTGGGGCTGGGCCAGGGGTGGGATGGAGATCAGGAAAGGTTCTGGGGATCAGGAAAGGTTCTGGGGTTTGGGAAGGAGATCAGGGAAAGATTCTGGGATGGACATGAGGGAAGGTTCAGGGGTTTGGGATGGAGATCAAGGAAAGGCTCAGGGATTTGGGATGGAGATCAGGAAATGTTCAAAGGATTTGGGATGGAGATCAGGGAAAGGTTCTGGGTTTGGGATGGATCCCAGGAAAGGTTCTGGGATTTGGGATGGAGATCAGGGAAAGGTTCAGGGGATCAGGGAGAGGTTCATGGGTTTGGGATGGAGATCAGGAAAGGTTCTCAGGGGGTTTGCGATGGAGATCAGGGAAAGGTTCTGGAATTTGGGATGGAGATCAGGGAAAGGTTCATGGGTTTGGGATGGAGATCAGGAAAGGTTCTGGAATTTGGGATGGAGATCAGGGAAAGGTTCTGGAATTTGGGATGGAGATCAGGGAAATGTTCAGGGGTTTGGGATGGAGATCAGGGAAAGGTTCTTCCCCCAGAGGGTGGTGGGCACTGAATTCCCCAGGGAATGGCCCCATCCCAGCCCTGCCAGAGCTCCAGGAGCCTTTGGACACCTTGGGACAGGCTGGGGTTGTTGGGGAGCCTGTGCAGGGCCAGGGGCTGGGCTGGATGATCCCTGTGGACCCCTCAAACCGAGGATGCTCCATCGCTCTGTGATTCCAAACTCCCACCCCACACCTGCTGAGCCTGGGGCTGCTGTGCCCACCTGATGAAGGGCCTGGAGACGGCCAGGACAGTCCTGATGAACCACGAGGGGTGCACGATGATCAGGGCCTTGAGGTTCTTCCTCAGCCTGGGGACAGGTCAGGGGACAGAGTCACATCCCAGGGACATTTCCTGAGCTGCCCTGAGCTGTGCTGGGCTCCAGCGGGGGCTGCCCAGGTGAAACCCTTGGGAAGCCCATCCCAGCTCAGCAGGATGTGGAGCACTGCTCTGGAAATATCACTATAAACCAAAATATCCCTGGACAGGGCTGGGGGCAGCCTGGGGTGGTGGGAGCTGTCCCTGCCCAGGGGGAGGGCAGTGAGGTGATTTCTGAGGTGCATTCCAGCACCTGGCAGGTGTAAGGAATGTGGGACTGGATCAGACTCATTCCTGTTGGGGAACAGCTGTGGAAGACAACTTTTATAAAAAATCCTTTCCTTTCCTTGGGATTTTTCCTCCTGAAAGCTGAGAGGCCTCAGGAACAAAATGCAAACAATGGTTATCTGCTGCTGTGGAATGCAACAGGTGCATCTGGGATTGGTCTCATGTGGTTGTTTCTAATTAATGGCCAATCGCAGTCAAATGGCTCGGACTCTCTGTCCAAGACAGAAGCTTTTGTTATTAATTCAATTTTTTTTCTATTCTTAGCTAGCCTTCTGATGAGAACCTTTTCTTCCATTCTTTTAGTATAGTTTTAATGTAATATATATCATAAAATAATAAATCAAGCCTTTTGAAACACGGAGTCAGATCCTCGTCTCTTCCCTCACCCCTGTGAACACCAGGGGTCACAAGCAGCCTCTGATTCTCCTCTGGAGAGGCGCCAGCAGCAGGTTCCTCACCTTCTGTCGATCATCTGGTAGCACTTCTTGAGCCAGCCCAGGCCTGGCATCCTCCTGCGCGGCGTGGCCCCGTTCAGGTACACGATCATGTAATCCTCAGCCACCAGCAGCTCCAGGCTGCTGATCACATACCTGCCGGGGGGAGACCGAGAGGAACCCAGTGAGACCCCAAAAACATCCTCGAGATTTCTGCAAGTGCCCCTGTGCCACCCTGGAACAGCTCCAGAGCCTCTTTATAGGGCTGGGAACAGCTTTGGTGGCCTGGGTGTCCCTCAGGGGTCAGAACTTTGTGCCCTGCTCAACATTTTCTCCTCAGGGATCAGCACTTTGCGCTCTGTTCAGCAGGGACTGTCCCAGCCTGGGTACAGTGAGTCCATCCTGGCCATAATTCCTGCAATATTTGAATGCTTGGCCTTGTTGGACTCAGAACTGAGCCCATTGTCCCTCCAGTGTCCCACCAATGTCCCACCAGTGTCCCACCAGTGTCCCATCAGTGTCTCCATCCCAAACCCACCAATGTCCCACCAGTGTCCCACCAGTGTCCCACCAATGTCCCACCAGTGTCCCATCAGTGTCTCCATCCCAAACCCACCAGTGTCCCACCAATATCCCACCAGTGTCCCACCAGTGTCCCACCAATGTCCCACCAATGTCCCACCAATGTACCACCAGTGTCTCCATCCCAAACCAACCAGTGTCCCACCAATATCCCACCAGTGTCCCACCAGTGTCCCACCAATGTCCCACCAATGTCCCACCAGTGTCTCCATCCCAAACCCACCAGTGTCCCACCAATGTCCCACCAGTGTCCCACCAATGTCCCACCAGGGCTGGGTTTGCTCCCAGCTGAAATTCCAGGGAAGCTGCTGTGTGCTTTCCTCTGTAAGCCCAGAGCACCTGGAATATTCCTCTGTCTGCTCTGGGGTGCCCTGACCCTCAGGGCAGCACTGACTTTGACCCTCATCCATGGAGAAAATTTCCTAAACTTCAAAATATAATCCACAAAAGTGTGAAATGGATTGTAGAGAGTGGTGCAGGTGTAGCACTGGGCGAGAAATTGAGGTTTTGGGGTTTTTAGAGTGTTGTGGATGTGAGAAAGATGGAGGGCACAGGGTGTCATCCTGGGTTTCTTCTTCTTGGGTTTGGGCGGCATTTTGTAATTGGGTGGAAAAATCCACATTGGGATCAGTTATTGGGTTAAAAGGGAAAATAATCCGGGTGTCAGCTCTTAATTGGATGGTTTAGTCTTAAAATCTCTTGTACCAAGAGATTGTTGGCCATTTTGTGCCTTGCTGCCCAGCTCACAGCAGTGAGACTGTTTCACTGATAAGAAATAACAAACACCTGAGTCCCAACATGAATTACTGCCTCAAGTTCCTTCAATCCCAACCCAGAAAAACCCACAACCAGGGTTCCCCCAGGCTGCTGTCCCTCCCAGGCACTCACAGGAAGAGGTTCTCCATGATGTAGTGATAATCTGCCAGGTTGCTGTCGGGGAGGTAGCAGGCAGCAAAGACGATGATGGCGTTCAGACCTTCTCCGTAGTATCCTGCCCAAAAAACCACCAAAGTGACACTTTCCAGGCAAAAACGGCACAGCTGAGGGGAAAACGGCGCTGAAATTTGGCCCTGGGGTGGTTTTTGTGTCTCTGCTCAGCTCCAGGTGAGCGTTTCTCTCTTCAGATATTTTCCACTGTGAGATTTCCTCCTGGGTTTGGTTACGGTGTGGGTTTGGGGTTCAGAGAATGGATTTTGGGGGTTTTAAAGCTGGATTGCTCCTTGGCTTTGCTTGGACTTTGGAAACAAACCTGACTGCACACGTGTGGCCCCTGGAGCATCCCAAGGATTGGCACAATCCCTCCAGATGATAACTCTACAATCACTAAACGTTTTTAGCACCATCTGAGCGCTTTGGTGCTTCTCTACCGAAAAATCCCAAATTTTCCCCCCAAACAGAGCCCAGCCAGCCTTGGTGGGACGGACAGAGGGACAGAGGGACAGAGGCACCAGGGTTTGGGCTCACCTCCGTGCGTCACCACCCTCATGTAGGGTTTGATCATCTGCAGGTCGATCCTGTGCTCCTGCTCGCCGATGATGACGGTTCTCCAGAGGCGCCCGTTGGTGGCACTGCCATCCTCGGTGCCCCCGTCCCCAAACAGGTCTGCGCTGTCCCCTGGCATGTTCTTGGCCGTGGCCACCGGGGTGTCATCTGGGAAAGGGACAAAGGGGTCTTGCCTTGAGGAGGAATGGGGAAGAGCTTTGGGAACACCAGTTCCCAATGGGGCTCCCAAAAAATTCACTTTCTTATCAGCCCGGGACACTCAGGGATGATGCTCTGATGGGGTTTCACCTCCATCCTTGATCTGGGCCAATTTATAAATTATTTTATTTTTGGGCCAATTTATTCATCATTTTTATTTTGGGGCAAATTTATTCATCATTTTTATTTTATTTAATTATGAATATATTCATAATTTTATTTTACTAACACACAGTTGCAATAACTTCGAAAAATGATGCTGCATAAATTCGCCTAACCATTCAGAAGAGGGTAAAATCCTACAGGTTTTAACCTTGCTCTGCTGCCCAAACATTATAGAAATAACTTTAAAATCTCCCTCTGCTTATCACAGAGATATTTTAAAGTTATTTCTACAATATAATATAAATTGGGCCAATTTATTCATAATTTAAATTTTATTTAATTATGAATATATTAATAATTTTACTAACAAAAATCTTTAAAATGAGGCAGAAAAAACCACCCCAACCCCTGGAAACACTCACCCAGAACCAGGGTTGTTTTACCTTCCCATTCCAGCTCGTTGCCTCCAGCCTTGATCTGGGCCAATTTATTAATTATTTTTATTTTTGGGCCAATTTATTAATAATTTTTACTTTTGGGCCAATTTATTAATAATTTAAATTTTATTTAATTATTAATATATTCATAACTTTATTTTACTAACACATAGTTGTAATAACTTCGAAAAATGATGTTCTTTTACCTTCCCGTTCCAGCTCATTGCCTCCAGCCTTGATCTGGGCCAATTTATTAATTATTTTTATTTTTGGGCTGATTTATTAATAACTTTTTTTTTGGGGGGGGGGCAATTTATTAATTATTTTTATTTTTGGGCCAATTTATTAATCATTTAAATTTTATTTAATTATGAATATATTCATAATTTTATTTTACTAACACACAGTCGTAATAACTTCGAAAAATGATGGTTTTTTTTTACCTTCCCATTCCAGCTCGTTGCCGTTGCCCAGGAACTCGAGGGAATCCGTCTCGTCAGGGGTCTCGATGTCGTCCACGTTGATGTCCAGGTCGTCTGGGGTGTCCAGGAAGTCGTCGGAGAGGATGGAGCCCTCGCTCTGGTCCAGGGAAATGTTGATCTCGGGTGCCACCAGGGTCTTCCTCTTCCGATGGGCCCCGTTGAAGTTCAGGGTGTTGGGGGGAGCTGGAGTTCAGAGGAAAATAAAACTGACAGGGTGTGTGGGGTTTGGGCAGTGCTGTGTGATCCCACAAGGTAAAACAACCCTTAGATTTGGGGTTTTAGTGCATAGTAATACATAGAAACCAAGGTAGAAAATTTTCCGTAGGTTAACTGTCTTTTTTACACCTTCTTCCTTCTTCAGTTTTCTCTAATTATGTCTGTGCTGCAGGTTTCCAGTAATCATAATTGAGTTAGAAGCATGAATACTAAAGATATCAACTATAAATATAAATAATATATATATCAACTGTTTATTCAAGAATTAAGACTTAAATAGCCTTGGATAAACCCCATTTTAGGTCACTTTCTTGACTTGTTAGAGAGAGCTCACATCTCGTAATTTTGCAATAAATAAAGATAATATTGAAGTCTCGCTCTGGAGTGAGACTTCTAAAAGGTCTCCTGAGGTTTATTTCTCCTGACCGTAGAACAAGAACGAGCCTGGCATTCCAACACATCCTGGAGGCACAGAGCAAGGCATCCTCATGGATAATTCCTGCTGGGACATGGAGCTGGAGCCCTCAGGGTGCTGGGTCCCACTGGGAGGCACTGGGATGGGAGTGAAATCCCAGTTTCCTCCCCCAAACCCTCAGGATGGATGAACAACTTCAAATCCCTGCTGGTTCCCTCTCCCGAGTGAGAATTTTAAATTTTTTTTTTGGTGGAGAATCCAAGGTTTTCTCCCTGCCTGGCAGCTCCCCTGGGCTCGCAGAATTTGGTACTTACAGGACGTGGTCTCGTCCTCCGTGGGGCTCCCCAGGGACTCCATCCCTGTCTCTTCTGGGAGAGGCCTGCAGGATAAAACCACAGCAGAGAGCAGGGGAAATGAGGGGGGAAATCATCCTGAGGGAATGGAGGCAGCAGGGAAAAAACCCAACCCCAGCTCTGCCCTTTCCCTTTGTCACCCTGAGGGTCTGGGCTTCCCTCCTGGCTGCTCTGCAATCCCCACTGACCTCCAGACCGCCCCAAGGGGTGAAAAATCCAGCAGGGAACAAAGCCTGGCCTTGGCAGCGTTCTCCTTCTCTGTGTTCTGCTCGTTTTCATTCTGCAGGAGCTCCGAGGGGCAGCGCCAGGCCCTGGGGCTCCTCATTAGGGCAGCCCCTAATTAGGGCAGCCCAGGGCTGCGTCCCCATTCCCTGGCAGGGCTCTGGGGTGGACACAGCACACAGGGAGGGATGTTTTCACCCCAGTCCATCACAGCTTTATCCACAACCCAGGAACTCCTTGGTTCTGGCTCTGTTTGGTACCCACGACCCTAAATTGTCACCTCAGCCCCCCCGGGTGACTCCCAGCCCCTGCTGAGGGCTGGAATTGGGTTCAATCCATGCTAAAATCCAGGTATCAGCATCCAACACCTATTTTGGGGCCACCCCTCCTTTCCTGGGGTTTGCAGCCTCTCCTGCTCAGCTCCTGCGCCCTCCCAGCTCAAATCTGGGCCCCTCCAGCTGGAAGCATCAATGGATTGGAAAGTTTTCCTTGCTAAAATCAACACCCAGGGCATGGCTGGCACCCCTGGGCAGCTGCTGGAGCTGCTCCTGTCCCAGTCTGGGTGGGAAAAGTGGGAATTTGGGTCTGGGCTGTGCCCAGGAACCTTTGCTGTGCCTGAGCCTCACCCGGAGTGCTTTTCCCCTTAACTGGAGCTGGGATTTGTTCTGCCCCCTGCAATTATCTGTGTTTGACATTTCCTCACCAAACCCCACCAACTCCACGGGTCCACACTGCCAAATCTCTGTTTAAAACCTGTCCTTCCCCCTGGCCAGGGAGGAGCTGTGAAATCCCTGGGACAAATCTGGGAATGGGGATGAGGATGAGGATGGGGATGGGGATGGGGATGAGGATGAGGATGAAGATGAGGATGGGGATGAGGATGAGCATGAGGATGAGATGAGGATGAGGATGAGATGAGGATGACGATGGAGAGGAGGATGAGGATGAGGATGGGAATGAGGATGAGGATGGGGATAAGCAGGGGGATGAGGATGGGGATGAGCAGGGGGATGAGGATGAGGATGATGAGCCTGAGCAGAGTCGCTGTCCAGCAGCCCGATGGCCCTGCCACACAGCAAAGGAGGGAGGTGACAGCGGGAACAGGATCCTGCCCCGCTCTGCCCCCCGCTCCTTTCCATGACACCGCGGCCACCAGGCAAATTAAACCCTATAAATATGCAGATTAAGGGATAATCCCCGGCTGCCGGGCACTCCATATTCATGAGGGCTCAGCACCCGATCAAAGGCACGTGCAGGACCCTCCGGAGCAGAAGGAAAAACCCCCCGAGCCCCCCTCGGCTCCCCCTGCCCGTGCCCACCCGGGCCTGGCGCGGTTTGTCCCGGGATCTGGCGCCTGGCACGGTTTGGTGACACAGCATCCAGATGGGGAGGGAGGGGAAGGGAGGGGAGCTGAGTACGTGCTGCTCACACCGAGCTCGGCTCGGGCGGGCCGAGGGGAGGAAAAGCCGCGCTCACCTTCCCCGAGGCTGCTGCGGGGCGATCGCTGCCTCCTCCCGCGGCTCCTCCTGCCTCCAAACCCCCCGGGACAAATTCGGGGAGAGCCGGGGCTCTGCTCGGGGCCCTGGGCCAGCCCCGGCCCGCAGGGACAGAGCGGGACCGCGGGATGAGGGAGGGATGCGGGAAAAGATCCAGGAATGGATGCAGGGAGGGATGAGGGGAGGGAGGGATGCAGGAGGGAGGCAGGGATGGATGCAGGGAATAGATGCAGAATTAGATGCAGGATTAGATGCAGGGAATAGATCCAGGAATGGATGCAGGAATGGATCCAGGAATAGATGCAGGAATAGATGCAGGAATGGGTGCAGGAATGAATGCAGTGATGGATGCAGGGAATAGAAGCAGGAATAGATGCAGGGTTAGATCCAGGGATGGATGCAGTGATGGAAGCAAGGATAGATCCAGGAATGGAGGCAGTGATGGATGCAGGAATGCATACAGGACAGTTGCAGCGATGGATGCAAGGGTAGATGCAGGAATAGATCCAGGAATAGATGCAAGAACGGATGCAGGGATGGATGCAGCGATGGATGCAAGAACGGATGCAGGAAGGGATGCAGGAAGGGATGCAGGGACGGATGCAGGAGTGAGCATGCTCCCGCTCCGCGCCGCCCGCGTCTCGGTCACGGCATCCCCGCCCCGGGCCGCCCGAGCCGGGCCGGGATCGGAGCCGGGGCAGCACCGAGGGTCCGCCCGCTCCTCTCCCGGCTCCTCCTCGGAGCGGCTGCCGCGGTTCGGCCTCCCAGAAACGTTGGGATGTCGGTCCGGGCCCTCGAGCAACGCCCGGGCTCTGTTTTTCTGTTTTCCCGACCCAGATCTCTGTCTAGGTTGTGGCTTTTCTTTTCTTTTCTTTTCTTTTCTTTTCTTTTCTTTTCTTTTCTTTTCTTTTCTTTTCTTTTCTTTTCTTTTCTTTTCTTTTTTTTTTTTTTTTCGGGGCAAGACTGGCTAATGGCAGGCAGGCAAAAATAGCTCTGCAGCAAATCAGCTGCTGGAGAGCGGCTGTCCCACATGCAGCAGCTCCTGCCCTATTATTGCAACGCTTCCAGCGGGGAAGCGGCTGGAAAAGCACAATTTATTTATTTTCATTGCCGGTAGAACCCGGCTGGCTTTCCCTGCTTTGCCTGGGGCTGTTTGGGCTCTGTCTCGCGTCGTTCCTGCTCAATCCCTCCGGAGGAGGCTCCTCCCAGGGCTCCGGCCTCATCCCTCCCCTCTCACATCCCTCTGCCTTTCCCGGGGTTCATTCCCAGGGCGTTTCCCTGGGTTTGGGGGTGCCTGGAGCTTTCCAGGAGGGATTTCCATGGAATGCTGGGCCTGGAGTTTGCTGCTGCATGGGCAGAGTGGGACAGAGCTCCCAGGTGGTGCCCCAGAACCAGAGCAGATTTATCCCGGATATTTTAGGGAGCTCGGGGACAATACTTTCCTTCCTACACCTTCATTTCCCGTCTCTGTTCTCTGAGCAGCCTGGTCTGCTGGAAGGAATCCCAACTTTGGGAGGGAGATGAGTTCAGAGGCTGCTTCCAACTCAAACCATCCCATGATTCCCATCCATCCATCCATCCATCCATCCATCCATCCATCATCCATCCACCCATCCATCCATCCATCCATCCATCCATCCATCATCCATCCATCCATCCATCCACCCATCCATCCACCCATCCATCCATCCATCCATCCATCCATCCATCCATCCATCCCTCATCCATCCATCCATCCATCCATCCATCCCTCATCCATCCATCCATCCATCCATCATCCATCCATCCATCCATCCATCCATCCATCCATCCATCATCCATCCATCCATCATCCATCCATCCATCCATCCATCCATCCACCCATCCATCCATCCATCCATCCCTCATCCATCCATCCATCCATCCATCCATCCATCCATCCATCATCCATCCACCCATCCATCCATCCATCCATCCATCCATCATCCATCCATCCATCATCCATCCATCCATCCATCCATCCATCCATCATCCATCCATCCATCCATCCATCCATCCATCATCCATCCATCCATCATCCATCCATCCATCCATCCATCCATCCATCCATCATCCATCCATCCATCCATCATCCATCCATCCATCATCCATCCATCCATCATCCATCCCTCATCCATCCATCCATCCATCCATCCATCCATCCATCCATCCATCATCCATCCATCCATCCATCCATCCATCCATCCATCCATCATCCATCCATCCATCATCCATCCATCCATCCATCCATCCATCCATCCATCATCCATCCATCATCCATCCATCCACCCATGCATCCATCCCTTTCTTTCCCACATTCCTCTCTCCTTTCCCTCCATTAAACCCCGGGGCTGGCAGGGATCCAGCAGCTCTCAGAGGGAATTTTATCCTCTCTGGGGCTGGGGAGGAGGGAAGGACAAACGCCGTGCTGTGGGCTGCAGCACAGAGGGGCTCACAGGGCACGCAGCTGGGGCTGCCAGGAACAGAGCCAGGCCCATCCCAGGGAACAGGAGCCCCTTTCTCTGTGCCTGGCAATGCTGGGGCTCTGAGCCTGCAGCTGCAGGGGCTGGGCCAGCCCTGAGAGCCCCCGGGCACCTGCAGGGGCTCCAGAGCCAAGAACAGCAGCGTTGGAAGGCAGCTGAGAAACCCCCTCAGTGTCACCCCTGCTGCCCAGGCAGGGCCACCTGGAGCAGGGGAATCCACACCCGGTGGGTTTGGGATGTCCCTGAGAGGGAAAATCCACACCCAGTGGATTTGGAATGTCCCTGGAATGTCCCTGGAGAGGGAGAATCCAGCCCTGGTGGGTTTGGGATGTCTCCAGAGAGGGAGAATCCACACCCGGTGGGTTTGGGATGTCCCTAGAGCAGAGGAATCCACACTCAGTGGGTTTGGGATCAGGGGAATCCACACCCGGTGGGTTTGGGATGTCCCTGGAATGTCCCTGGAGAGGGAGAATCCAGCCCTGGTGGGTTTGGGATGTCTCCAGAGAGGGAGAATCCACACCCGGTGGGTTTGGGATGTCCCTAGAGCAGAGGAATCCACACTCAGTGGGTTTGGGATCAGGGGAATCCACACCTGGTGGATTTGGGATGTCCCTAGAGCAGAGGAATCCACACCTGGTGGATTTGGGATGTCTCTGGAGCAGAGGAATCCACACCCGGTGGGTTTGGGATGTCCCTGGAATGTCCCTGGAGAGGGAGAATCCAGCCCTGGTGGGTTTGGGATTTCTCCAGAGAGGGAGCATCCACACCTGGTGGGATTGGGATGTCCCTGGAGAGGGAGAATCCACACCCGGTAGGTTTGGGATGTCCCTGGTGGGATTGGGATGTCCCTGGAATGCCCCCAGAGAGGGAGAATCCAGCCCTGCCCCGGGCAGCCTGGCAGTGGGAAGGAGCTGGGAATGGGGGTGGGAATGTGCTGGGGATTCAGGCACTCGGGGATGGGTTTTGGGATGGGTTTGGCACCCCTGTGCAGCTGCTGGAGCCGATCTGGAGGTGGAAGGTGCCACTTTGGCACCTCCTGTCAGCCCCACAGGGCTGGCACCCGTTGGATGCAGGGATCCCGGCACAGCAGCGCTGCTGTGTTTGGGATTCTGCTGGGTTCAGAGCCTGGGAATGAGTCCATAAATCCATAAATGCACTCCCACATTCATCCATCCCTCTGTGGATCCCTCTATCCATCCCAATCTCCCTGTGCCCCACACCCAGCTCCTTCCCACGCCTACCCAGAGATGCCAAAAACATCCCCAGGTTTTCGATGCGCTCAGAGCAGCCCCAAAAATTCTGAGCCCCTGTTGGAGTTCAGGCTCCTGTTGCCTCTGAGGCCTGGCCATGGACCCTCCCACTCTGAGGGTTTCTCACAGGGAAAAAAAAAAAAAAAAATTAAAATTATTCTGGTTTTGTTTTGTTTGTTTTGGGGAACGCACCTGGGGAAGTCCTCGTCCTGCCACTCCTCCTTCACATCCACATTCTCCATCCTCAGCGTGGCCTCCGTGGTGCCCATGGCTCTCGGGGGGCTGGGGCCAGCAGATCCCCCAGGAGGGGCTCAGGCTGCAGAGGGGAGGCACAGAGGTTGGCATGGATGGGGCACCCGCACCCCTCGGGAGGGCAGGGTGAGAGGGGATTGGTTGGGAAAAGCAGAAATTCTGCACTCTGGGCACGTTTTGGGGCACAAGGAGGAGGTGAGGGTCGGGGTGTGGGTCTGTTTGGGCCCCAGCTGCTCCCCCCGACACCCACAGGGTTCCCCTTCTTGTGTCTCATCCAGCACCAATCTGCTCATCAGCCCCTCTGTGCTGAGGGAGAGGAGATGGGAGGGGAGGGTGAGCTGGCCTCGGCTGCCCTGGGGCATTCCCAGATTGGCATTCCAGATTGGCATTTCCAAATTGGCATTTCCAAATTGGCATTTCTGGGATTGGCACTCCCAGATTGGCACTCCCAAACTGGCATTCCCAGGTTTGGCACTTCCAGATTGGCATTCCCAGATCAGCATTCCCAGATTGGCATTCCCAAATTGGCATTTCTGGGACTGGCATTCCCAGATTTACATTCCCTGACTGGCATTTCAAATTGGCATCCCAGGATTGGCATTCCAGATTGGCATTCCAAGACTGACATTCCAGACTGGCATTCCTAGATTGGCATCCCAGGATTGACATTCCAGGATTGGCATTTCTGGGATTGGCATTCCCAGACTGACATTCCCAGGATTGGCATTTCCAGACTGGCATTCCAGATTGGCATTCCCAAATTGGCATTCCCAGGTTTGGCAGTTCCAGATTGGCATTCTCAGATTGGCATTCCAGGATTGGCATTCCCAGATCGACATTCCAGACTGACATTCCAGATTGGCATTGCAGGATTGGCATTCCCATATTGCCATTCCCAGATTGCCATTCCCAGATTGCCATTCCAGGCTGGCATTCCAGGCTGGCATTCCCGCCCATCCCAGCGAGCCCCTGGCCCGGTCTGGCTCCATCCCTGCCCTTCCCTACCCCAGACACCTCCAGGCTCTGGAAAATCCCGATTTCCTCCCCCTGGCCGGCGGCAGCTGCTCCGTGCCAGCCCCGCGGGCATCATGGAGGGACCGAGGGAGGAGGAGGGAAGGAGAAAAGGAGAAGGGAAGGAGAAAAGAAGGAGGAGAGAAGAAGGGAAGGAGAAACCCTGGCTGGAGGCGGCTGCCGCAGCATCCATCCATCCATCCATCCATCCATCCATCCATCCATCCATCCATCCATCCATCCGCCCCGTACTCACCGCTGCCGCCGCTCAGAGGGGAACAAAGGCGAGCCCGAGCCTTCCTCCCCGCCAGCTCCGCATTCCTCCTCCCGCTGGACGCGGCTCAGCAGGTGCGGCCCGCGGATGGCGGCGGGGACGAGGAGGATGAGGATGGAGCAGCGTGCGGATGCATCCGGGTCGCTTTTCCCCGCAGCAGCCGCTGCTCCGCGGGTCGGCTCGGAAATAGGGACGGGCTCAGGGCGTTATTCCTGCTCCTCCATGGCTGCTGCTGCTCCCCCGAACGCCTCCGCGGGATTTCCTGGTGGATTTTGGGATGCGGTGATGGTTTTTGGGATTTCGGTGAGATTTTGGGGATGGTTTTTGGGGTTCGGTGATGGTTTTTGGGATTCGGTGATGACGGTTTTTGGGATTCGGTGATGGTTTTCCGCCCGCAGCTGGCGGAGCCTG